CGCGCGTTGCAGTTACGCGCGGAGTGGCCATATAATTGGCAACGGTGGCACTGCCCGGGAGTGCCGCGTTTGTAGGGGGCCTCTACGGTGACCCCCGATAGGCCGCACACGGTGCGGAGACATGAGGCAATTTTCTTGCCCTCCGGTGTGGCTTCTAGTGCTACGAGCACCATATCGTACGCGAATTTGTCGCGCCCGCTGTGCATCCGGTGCACACTTATGACGGGGTAGGACGGACCTACCAGGTCATTCTTGATTTGCTCGACGTCGAGCTCTTTGGGGACTCCGCGTATTACGACGCGGAGTTCACGCTCCTCCTGGAGCGCATAGGTATGATACCCTATGCGTTCCTTGCGGAGGTACGCTGTCAACGACCTGTGGTCGTCGGATGTCTCTACCTTGATCTGAATTCCATGCGGGATATTCCTCGCATGGACGACATTGATCTTTTGGGCCTTAAGGGCCAGGGACACGCGATCCCAAGAAGATTTTTCCCGCAGGATGACCGGCGGCGGCGCGGGAACTTTTCGGACGGGCGCGGGCCCGGGGCGCGGCGACGGGGTTGCGCGGCGAGGGGAGTCGGGTGAGACCACGACTTTAGGACGCCAGATAACACAATGTGAATGCCGCCATTTATAGCATGAAGGCTGTATGTAAAAAGAATCGTTGACTTTATCCTTTTCTCTCACAGATGAAGTGACAGTCAATAGCTGCTTAGATAAACAGTGCAAAAATAGAAAAGTTGGGATAATAGCTAAAATCAAACCACATTCAATTATTATTTATTAATATCCATCGACACATAGAATTAAAATCGTATTTATTCAGATTAGTTACAACATCAAAGAAGAAAGAACTCTAGAAACAGTATATTTCAAAATATGCATGTTTTAACGATTTATATTAATAAGCACGTATACACAAATATCATATGATTTTCAAATTTATTTTTAACGTTAAACATTTACGGATAAGTGTTACAATTGCATTTGCTGTTGATTTAATATTGAAAATATAGTGTGCATATAACATAAAAATATTATAATAATAAATTAGCATACACGACGAAATTTCCTTAGTGTCAGATATGCAGTAGATCGATAGGCGTTCTCATCTTGTCATGTTTCATGATACTAAGACAATACGTGTGTAGATTTCGTTTTTAATATAATTAACATAAATTAGTTCCTTGGTCGTGATTGTGGAACCAATATCAGCTAATGTAAATATTAATTTAATCTCTGCCTTGTAAAAATTAGGATAGTCTGTGCCTTTGTGTCAAATTATTTCCGGCATTTGGTAACTCGACCTTTTAGTCCCTTTTAGTTATTCTAATCATCTTCAACGATCGTTTTTGTGAAATGATGGGAATTGAAAAAGTTCAATGTCACTTTGGAAGAGTCTCAAGAGCTATTTGATTTTGATTGTGTGGTGACATGGTGCTCTGTTTTGATTCTGTAAATATGTGCTTTTTTACAAGTACTAAAGGGTTAAATCAGGCGGTTAATACACATTTACGGTGGAAGAAGAATGAACCAATTCGCAGTATGTGGAACTTCATGTTTCTGCCAAAGGGTACTTGCTATATGTACTCTATCTTTATAAGCTTATATGCCTTTACATAATGTGATTATTCCCATAATTATAGTGAACATGAGGTGGAAGTAAAATTTCAAAAATTTCATTTAAATGGACCTGGAAGAAATATCGATTTTTTCACAACGCCTATTTTTGACTATAAACTCCTCTATCACAACCGATTTAAGTTCCTCATACGTAACGAAGGGACCTTCGGCACGCAGCCATTCCGCCTCGTGATTCACCAGAGATCGGCAAGCGATTGCCAGTGTCAGGTCATCGGACCAGTCAAAAAGCTCCGACAATGTTTCAACACAGTTGAGCCACTGGTCGGCTCTAAGGAACAAATTCGAGCCGCTGATCAAACGAACCTCTCGGGCTAAGTTCGATACATATCGTTCGTCCTCGGGATCTCCAGGGTAGTATCTAAACATTTTCTCGGATTTTTTGCTCGCTCCCGTTCAAAGCTCTTCTAATTCAACCTAAAATGCAAAACAAAATGGTTTGAATATGTAGTTAAACTTTACTAAACCAAAATAACTTCACTAAAGGATAAGAACGTCATCTAACAAAATGAAACGCGAAAAATATAAACCATCCTAAAAATAATAATTGATAATTCATCAATGTACTTGAAATCAATTTAATGTGCATTATTAAGAATAACCTGAAAAGATCTGATGTTGATAAAATTTGAATTTAACATGAGTAGTTTTTTTAAAGCACCAACTTTCAAATAAATAAAAAATCATTAAAATCGGTTCCCCTAGAAAAAAAAATCTAAAAAAACGAACACATAAAAATAGTAAAATTGATAAACTCCTCCTTAGTTTTTTTTAAAGTCTTTTAAAAAGGAATCAGATTAACAGTTTGTTGGATGATATCAACCCGCAAGAGTTAGTATTACTATAGTGTCATTTTTATGCTGACTAAATCGTTTTATCCGTCAAATTAGTCTGTATTTCAACTCAATTAAGACTTTGACATCATGTCTCAAAATCGGCCGATATCTATGAGCTTTCGGCTCGACACCAGAACGTGAACGAGCTGGTAAAACTCGTCGATTATTGAAGTTTTTGTGAATTCTAGAACGTATCTTTTTCATCAACAGGGTTGACTTCCGCGGGCTAAAGTGTGCGACTGCACTCCGAGCCAATCTCAAATCTGCAATGTACGAAAGCAGCTGCTCCTATGCTGGGGCTTTGGAACTAAAACGCAGCGCACTGAAGGAGGAACCGTGGCCGGCATCAGAATGGCCACCCTATCGCCTTCACCAATCAACCTTCGAGCAATTGAAGCAGAGCGTGGAGAAGGCCAAGGCGGCTCTTCAGGACAGGTCAGGCTTACTCGGGACGGCGACGGCTTTCGGTGACTTCTACGGAGGTCAGCTGGGCCAAGACGCTGGAGCTACACTAGGCTTCGGACGTGGCGCTCGAACAGAAGATTCTATGCTCGCATCTGTGGACAAAGGCAAAACTGTTGGTGAGTATTCTATTTTATTAATACATATTTTTTCGAAGTCAATTCGAGATCGTAAGCGAGATTGCTTATTTTCATTGTTAAGATAATACAAATTTGTTGTAGTACAGTCGAAGCAATACCAATGTTTTAGTTTAAGTTTATGCAATATTAAAAAACAAAGAAAAACTCGTTAAAATAATAAAACACTTAATAATTTAATAATTTTTTTACCCTTTTGATGAGTGACATGACCAAATGTTCATGAAATGATAGCCATGTGAAAGCCAAAATGATTGTGTTGTAATCGATCCAAGATGCGTGTGAAAATTTTCAAGTCAATCGATCGTATTGAAATCAGCGGAAAATGGCGTTCAAAGTTTCCGTTACAAATATACAAAACTCGCGTAGAATCGCGTTAAAAAAACATTATACATATTACAAACGGTTCACCCACAATTTAAAGTTAGAAATAACAATATTGTGCAAAAATAATATGCCACAATCAGATTTAAACGACGCAGCCTGACGTGGATCGACCTCACAATGCTCCAACATGTATACATTTTACACCAGTACATTTCCATTTAAAGGTCCGTTGTGTCAACGACACAACGACGATACAGATCAGGACACACAGCTTCGTATTCATAAAGAAAATCGATAGTACACCGCGAATGCACGAGTTGAGCGAAATTCATCCTTAAACTTTGAGCGAAAGCGTTGCATTTACAGGATAGGAACGCATAAACCCTTTTAGATTAAGCGTTATGATTCTGTAGGTACGAAGGTGGGGTAGCGTCTTTCCACAGATAACAATCGCTCTCAAGGGAGAGACGGGGGCGTGAGAGATCTCACCCTGCCGTAGTCATAGCAACGCGACCGCCCATACTCCGCCCAAAAGATCATCGCACGCAACCTTAACTAGTTGTGAAAATAAAATTTTATTATCCACGTTGAGTTCATTATTCGTGAAGTTAGTCGGCTCCACTAAGGGGCCTCCCTACCCTTCGGCTAACGAGGGGAAAAAATTGCAGTTGAAAAATGATCGCTTCTCTTATTTGCAGAGCCTGGTCAAAGCCTAGGTTCAAACAATTATGATTTTATTTTTCGCTTTTATCAACTACAACAGCCCAAGTTTCTCGATTTTTTTCTTAGTGCAGTATTTAATGAAAACGACCGTATATCGTTTTTTTATGAACCACAGCTAAATTGTACAAAAAAAAACATGCCTTAAAGTCTGATTATCGCGAATTGAAGTCTTTGGCTATGACCTCAATTATTTTACAACTAGGATCTGCCTGCGGTTTGGCCCGTTCGAAAATTAACTTTCATAAGATTAAATTTTATCCAAATCGGTTCAACAGATGACCGAGTAAAATACATGCAAATATTTTTATGATAGTTTCACATTTGTATTATTAGAGGGACATTACGAAACACTTAAAGAGTGATTCGAAACTACATTGAAAACGAAGCCTGAATATAACACATCCACGTTCGCAATATCGCAGTGAAGGAGAGAATTTATTCCGATACAGGTCTGTCTATACACCACATTGTACGATCTATTATCTTGAGATATGTAGTACGCGCAAGTTTTGGGCGCTTGATACTTTCAAACAACCAACAGTGAAATGAGTCGACTATTATCAAAGCCGGCAATGTGACTTTTGGACAATTATTGGTAAATCAGAAAAACGAATTATTGACTTTGTATTTCATTGGCAGTCACAAAACTCTTCTGAACGACATCTTAGATAAATAACAGGTTAAGTATTAACCTTTATTTAATGCAGGTTTTGAACCGTATTCTTTGAAGGAGACGATTATATTNGTGACTTTTGGACAATTATTGGTAAATCAGAAAAACGAATTATTGACTTTGTATTTCATTGGCAGTCACAAAACTCTTCTGAACGACATCTTAGATAAATAACAGGTTAAGTATTAACCTTTATTTAATGCAGGTTTTGAACCGTATTCTTTGAAGGAGACGATTATATTCAAATCAATCTGTATTGACATATCAATAACATTTTTATGTCCAAATGCACAGATTGCCACCTTTGATAATAGAAGACTCAAATGTAACGAGTGCCCAGATGAATTCCTGCCACGTTCAGTGTTTGGCTCCGGGATTCATTAATGGTCATTGTCAACAATAAGAAAATTAAGCCAAGTCGTTTTAATGTTATCACATAAAAAACGGATAGCAAAACCTTCAATGTCTCTAGAACAAAATAACTTTGAAATGAATACTCTGATCCTTAAATAAGTCATGGTAATTAAACCATAGCGCGATCTATCTCGACGCCAATGCCATCTAGTGAGAAAATCGGAACTAAAATCATAACCATTCTGCCAGCTTAAAATTGATTTAATGACCCACGATAACGTATTATCAGGACTTTGGTAAAGTCTATAGCTAAGGATATTTACTGGTGAAGTTTAGAACTAGAGTATTGTTTCAAAATCATACGGAATCTACAGAAAAAGCCCTTGGCTTCCCAATGCATGTTCAATGTAGGTATATTTAGCATTGTATTGTTGAACCCACGAAACAATGTGGGAAGTTAAGAATTGTTTTCATAATTAAAGTTGAGTTATTTTAAAATGGATCAAAACTCAGTTATATGTTTGAAATTACCAAAAACAGCTAATCTATAACACGATTTCTATCAACCCTAGGCGCTTAATCACAGACCTGATTCAAATAAGGTTTTCTTTCTCTGAATAAAGAAGTCGAATGAAAATAATTCAGGGCATTTTTTTCGCGCACAAAAAAAAAATTGAAAATTCAAAGCGACGAAAGAACAAAAGCCTCAACTGTCATGCAGAGACAATAAAGTTTTTTTCAATTAAAAAGGTAAAAAGGTCTCCGTCGGTGTATTGTCTTGGCAGAGATTCACCCCGAGATTGAGTCTCATTCCGTTTTTCAGAACGAAATTAGAAATTCATTTCACTCCGTTGCACTCTTGACCCGCAAAAAAGGAGTTGAACTTTGACATGAAATTTAATAACCGGATCCTAAAAATTTTAGTGTCATTAGCGAATTTTAACTTTATATTAATTCGCATTTGTTACTTCAACGATATAATAATATATTATTGGTAAAGCTTCTAGTAATATTAGTGCCTGAAAAAATACCGGCTATAAAAAGTAAATCTCACACTACAAATTTCAAATTTAAGAACGTTGCGACATTTTATTTTATTTTTTTATTTTATTTATTGCTTCGGTGTGTGGACGTGCTCACGGCCCACCTGGTGTTTAGCGGTTACTGGATCCCATAGACATCTCCAACGTAAATGCAACCACCCACCTTGAGATATGAGTTCTAAGGTCTCAGTATAGTTACAACGGCTGGCCCACCCTTCAAACCGAAACGCATTGCCTTTAACGATTACAATCGTATTAACTATTAAAGTTGAGACTACAGATGCGTCTCGGATATGTTTGCTCAAAATATTCCATTTGTAAAATTAAAACCGCTGTATTCAACGATAAACAAGAACAAACAACATTAACAAGGAAAGTTCTCGAAAATTTTCAAATGGAATTGGAACGCCGTTTTTCTTAATACGCTTACAGCAACATCCATTAAACGCCCATGATGAATAGGCAGCGCCGAGCCAAGAATATTAAACGACGAATGATCTCTTACTTTATTAGCATAATATCGTAATAAATGCAAAGCCCGCGATTCCCGTTTGACGTTATAAATTCTAGTCTCTGAAATAACTAAAAATATTAGACAATCGTAGGACTAGCGTTCTGTTTGAACCGGATAGATAATTCGAGAACTTTTCGTCTTAAAAATCGATAGCACTACGATTTTAACCTCAAATTAATCTGTAGCCGCTTTTTTTTCTATATGATGTTTTGGATTTGTCGTCGAATATAACTAAAGTAGTTCAATAAAGGCAACCTTATCCAAATATTATAAATCATCGTCCCGTTTTTATGATGTCGGAGGCAAACGTTCTTTTGAAATTAACGAATTGGGTCTCTGATGGATTTAGTCAAATATAACAATGCGAAGTCTCTGCTAAAGGCAAAAGAATAATTTGGAACTTTAAAACTTTTATAAGCAAAATTGGAGGAAAATGATACCTTAAATAAGTTTAGCTCAACTAAATAAATTCAAATCAATCCATACGAAATCTATTACTAGTAACTACCCGCCAAGTTCGAACACAGATTTCATCAAACATGCTGCACCTAAACGTGTGTTTATTAAAATAAAAAACACCGCTTGTACACAATTGAAATTTCAATCTTATATAACAAGGCAGAAGGCAGCATTCAGTGTGATTGATGTCTACGAAATCCGTACAGATAACTTATAACGGCCTTATTTATAGTGACTACATAGTATAAACAGATATACTAGTACGTACTCAACTGTTATGATCTAATAATAGTCGATACAACGTAATTGCAGGAAAACGGAACTTAACGTGTAAGTGTTACAAATGCATGCCACGTGTAATAGGGATGTGACGTGATTAAATACCAGGTAGTCCACGAGATCTTTGGTTTCCTTCTTTAAATAAATAGATTGTCGACTCGAACGTTAGTGAATACAACGACTATTTTACGCTACTAGGCAATGAATGTCTTAATCTCATTCTCAACATTTTTGCCTCAAAAGTCGGAATTCTGGTTAGTTCCAGTTTTCTCAGCAAGATCGTGTGATATGTGTGCGTTGTATTTTAATGAGCAAACCGCTCAATACCAGAAAGGAAAAATCATTGTCAACTGCATTAAGTTACACAAATTTGAAACAACTTTGTTATTTTTTTTTCTGAAGATTAAATTAAACAGTTTCCATTGAATATCACGTAGTCAAGCATTTTTGAAATTTGACACATTTATTATAGTGTATTTAGTATACACTACTGTTCGTCCCAATAATTGAAATTCGACCATAATCTCTAACATATCAATCCTTAAATTCCTCGATTCCTTTTTCGTGTGACTTTTCTTTTTTGTTGTGTTATCATTATTCTAAAAAATAC